GTTGCAAACCTTTTCAGAAACAATGGTTTCTTCTTCTTCTTCTTCTTCTTCTGCACAATAAATTTCAGTGTGTTTTACAGCCTTCGAGTGGCTCGCTGTTCACTGGCGTTTTGGTACCAACACTCCGGTGAGTTAAATCGTTCTATCCTGGGAGGATATATTCCAGCAGCTCGGGTACTTGAGGGAAATAATTTCTTTAAGGACATACTGTGTATTCAGTGGGCTCGATTTATTCCTATACTATTTTTTTTTCAGAATCTATTTCGTTAAACAAGTATTACTAACTTTCTGTTTTGTTTTTTCAGAAAGTTTAATTGTTTATTACAGCAATACAGAATTATAACAATTGGTTGACCCTATAATGGTTGATCGCTAGTACCTAGTAGTCATTAAATGAAACTCACTTAGGGGTGGCAAACGGCAGGTCGGGTCGGATAGGGTGTTGGTATAAAGTCAAAGATTTCTTTGTGGTCCCTTTTCCTTCTTTACTTCTCTTCTTTGTCTTTTGTGAAAGACAGTGTACTTCATTGGTTGTGCAAAATCTTTTTCTTCTCTTTATATTGAATTGTTCTTTGTTCGGCTTGTAAAGAGCTAGTAAAAGAGAGTGGCCTTGCGCACATGAGAAATTGGTCCTGAAGAAAAAACGGATCGATTCGCCCCTCTCGTGCGCGCGCGAGATATACGTGAGGCCTAATTCAAAGCTGGTTTTGCTAAAAAAGATTCTTTATTTTTTGAGCTTACCAGAATATGTCCAAATTCATTCTCTTTGAATTGAATAACGTCTGATTTATTACTTTGTAACAGCTATACTTTAAATTGTTGTAACTGCTACTTGAATTCTGTTACAGCTCTTTAATTTTCATAACCCCCAATTTAATTCTCCTTCTTGTAACAGCTCTAGCATCTTATCTATACTAGGTAACAGCTCTAGCATCTTATCTGTACTAGGAGTTGTTTTGTGAAGTTTTCAAACACATAAAAACACATTCATCTTCTCTTCTTCTTCAACCGATTTCTGGGCAATTGTTTTGTGCAAATTCCAAACTTCCAGCCATGAGTGCACGTGTTTGGAGGTGTTGTGGAACCTGGGAGCGGCCGATCTTAACGATTTGCACCCAGCTGAACCGAAATCACTTTCAAGGCCCACGACACAGTATTTTTTTATAAGTTATTTTTCTTTCCTTCTTGTTCTTGGTCAATATTATCTACTCATTTTTTTAAAAATGGGCGGGTCAAAAAGGGTAATGCAAAAACGGATTAATTATCCGACCCGACCTATATTTAATAGAGATAGAAAATGGGTTAAGCGGCGGATGACGACTTAATCACTATTGGGAGAATTCTTAGTATCTCAAACTTGAAAAACGCCCAATTTAAATCTTTAAAAATATAAAAGTTAAATCCATTAGTATCTATTTTCTAGGTGGATAATACGATTTTTATCTATAATTGACCCATTTTAAAAAAGATTTATTATCCAACCCATTTTTGTAGATAATAATATGGGTGGAGAATTTTAGCTCACTCGTGGGTTTCCCTTACCCTCACAAAGTTTAAAAAACGAGTCTTTTCCAATGAATGAGCAAAACAGAAAGAAGGGAAGAATAAAAGCGTACCCCAGTTTTACCAGGAATGGTGCAGTGCCAAACCATCAGGTTCACTGACCCATCTGTAAGTGTTTCCGGCTTTGCAACAAATCCCTATTAACCAAAAGCATGAAGTTAGAAAACAAAACTTATAAATAAGAAATGAATTCGCAAAGTTAAAAGCAGAAAACTGAAAAACAAGAAAGGGGTCGTCGAACTGAACATGGGGGTGATTCTTGCGCCAAGCTTTTCGCTCCTCTGCAAGACGACCTCGAGCAATACCTCCCGACATTCTTGTCTTTCTCCAAAACAGCTGTAAAGGTGAATGAGTAATGAGTAGCGAGCAATGAGTTTCTCCTTGGATGCCCCTTTTATTTAAATTTATACTAAAAAGAAAAGGAACTGTATTCAAAAACTGGTAATGTTCAAGTGGCTGATTGGACGGTGGAGATCATATTAGGAAATGGTGACGGAATTAAAGATAATACTTAAAACTGTTGTCTTTTTTCTTTTGTTAGGTCGGGGCCTTTCTTAAAATGGATTTAGACGGGAAGTCAATGGATTCCGATTTAATTTGGAAAAAGAAAAAGATTCCGATTTTATATTCTAGCGTGAAAACCACGCCATTATGCGCGTTCACGTGGAAAACGTCAGCGGTGCTGTTTTAGCTAGTCGCCATTGGCTGTTGGGGACTTGGCCCGTCTAATCAGCCCACTACACTTGACTTGGTTGTCAAAGTACGAACAAACAAATGCAATTTTAGTGTCATAATTATTATCTTTAGTTGAGCATAAGTTATGTAAAATAGGAAGGCCAAATGGTACGAATGGCTATTGGTCTAATTCTATTTTTTTGGATGTAAGATGGAGAATCATTAGATGCTTTCTCGTCCCATAATCATTATCCTTTGTCTGCATCAAGAATGTCATCACGATAGTCGTTTCTCCTTAACTTTTTTTGTTCCATACATGAGATTATTTAACGGAAAACTTTCGAAAATAACTATTGTTTGGAAGTTTATTATTAGGCTTAGTTATAATTTAACTAATTAAATTTTATAGCTACTAATTACTTGTATTATATTAAAAGAAGGGTAGTGAATCTCGAAACTAAGCTAAGTGGCGTATTGAGAAAAAATCATTTGACACTTTTAAGATTAGACAAATATAATCTATATATTTATATCTATATCAATATATAGATTAACTCGTCAATTTTTCTTCTATATTATCTAGAAACATGGAGGTGAAAAATTATAAAAAGTTATAATAGAAAAAACTGAGAAATATAAAAAGATGTAGATTGAGATAATCTATGACTATTTATACTTTCAAATAAATTAAAATATAAAATAAAGTAAATAAATTTACTTAAGATATTAAAGATTTAATGACTTTAAATTTTTTTTAACAAAAACCCCGAATAAGATCTACATAAAATACACAAAGTATTTAGAAGGTAAGAAAAAGAATTAAAAATAAATTAAAATATATAACAAGAATAATAACGCCATATTAATATTTGACAGATTGGGCAAACAAATATTCTATACATAAATAAATATCTTTATACAAATAAGAATTTTGTAAAATCAATCGGATAAATAGCAAATGGACTACTATGCAAAAGAATATACATAAAGACGTATATTAAGGGAATTTATTACTGTTTACACTTTGGGTAAGTTAAAATATAAAATAAATTTAATAAATTTTACCTGAGAATAAAATAATAATTAAAATATAATATTCAATAACAAGAATAATGGAGTAGAATTGGACTTAATTGAAGTAAGAACTACAAATGGATAGAGCATAAGTAATATTTCTCCTCTCAATAAACTCAATTTGATAGGTTATCAATCATCATTTCCATTCCCACGTTTTTAGAGGTTTAGTAGCATTTCAAGCCCAGTAAAAAATAAAAAAGGTTTCACGATAATAATTATGATGTCTAGCTTCATTCATATAGCTTTACGTTAAACATATCATTTTGAAATATTTGATAGAAACTATTTGAAATTCTATTTTTGTGCTGATTGTTTTTCAAACGAAGTCGAATAATCATGTGCCATAGAATAGCTATTCTGAACATTAAAAGTTGCCATTCTCAAAACTAGATTGTTGGTATTGCTGATGTATTGAAAATGAATTTAGGCACTTAATGGCACAAGGCAAGTGTCAATTTCAACATTACTACAAAGAAGCTAATCTTGTAACTGATAAACTTACCAATATTGGACTTATGAACAGACAAGAAAGGTTCTTCACTCAAGTTATCTCATTATCAAGGAATGTTAAAGCTTTATTGAAGAATGACCAAAAAGACTATATCCACTTCAAAATGAGAACAAAGAGTGATCACTATCTTTTTGAAAATGTTTAACTCTGATTATCCAGGATTAATCATAATAGCATATGCTTCGACATTCATTTGTTATACAAGAGAGAAGTCCTCTCTTAAACCAGAAGATACATTTTTTGCTATCTATATAAGGGTGAGGTTTTCTCACTCTTCATGTATTTGTGGAGGCTAGGGTTTATATCCTCCTACGAGTATTCTTTTGAATAATATTCTTTTGGTAGGGGTCTTGCCAAACACACCTCAGGCCAGTACAACCTGGGTGAATGGATTTATTACAAAAAACAAAAACGAAAATGAATTTACCTTTTTCTTTTTTGGTGCTTTGACTTTTTCTAATGATGTTGTGTTATATATGTTGCACTTCAATTGCCCTGTTAGCATCCAAATTACTTGAATTTTGAGGTCAAAATTGTTGTCCATCTCCTCCCTCATATACTTAGAAAGGAGCTATACAATATTCAAGTTCAAGACTCATGTAAACTTGTTACATAAAATAGAGTACTGTTACGGTAATATCTGGTGTAATACAACAAATAGTGTAATTCTAAGAATAACAATATCTCCATCTAATGTAGGAATATCTTTTAAGTTCTAGCAAAGACAAATTTAATCGTTAGATATTTTGCAGATATTTTGCCGTGATAACAAAAGTCAAGGCCAATCATGATTTCATGTGAGAGTTATTTTGAAGAAACCAAATAATTTTATGATGCTCTTTCACGGATATAAAAAGGGGTTAGAATTCTTTAATTTATGATTATGATGAACAAATAACAAAATATATAGAACTATAACAAAGTTTTCTCGTAATTTAATTTGAGACGTCATAGAATCTATATATTTTTAATTAGTCAATTCAAATTATTTCCATTACAAACAGAAACAATGTCAATATTTAGGACGAGGTAGTTATTGTCACGTCCTAAAATAAGTGAACCATCCAATAGATTAATACTCACCTATGTGCCTAACGGGAGGATGCGAAAGCCTCTTCAAGTACAATCATTTTAAGATATAAAACAAGACATGAATAATATCTTTAAATAAATATTTTTCTTTGAAAGTGAACTTCATAAAGATAAAAAAAAGGTTCATTCATGCATGCCATATGAGTAACCATAGGATTACAACCCAAAATGAATAATACTATTGTCTATGGAATCTATATGACACAAAATGAAATAGCCAACCAAAACATAACCCGGTGGCTTAAAAGGATAATCATATAAATAAATTCTCCACGGTACGAGTGTGAAGTCTCACCAAAAGCGTCAACAGAAAATGTAGAGATGCCTAACCACGCAGTCCAAGCTGCTCATGTCCAGTCCCTGAAAACAGAAATAAAAATGTGGCCAAAAGGCCTAAGCTCCACATGCCTAGTACAAATCATGAACCGTTTCCCAAAAGAAAGTAGGACAAGACTTAAGAAGATATAAGATATGCAATAACAATTGATATAAGAAAGAAGCCTTCATATCAATTAACAATTTAGAAAATAAAATAAAATAATATGGTAAAACATATTTCAAAGTCTTCTTTTAGCTTTAATCTTTGCAAATCATATTAGATTTTTCATTTACCGGGAGCGTTATACCATCACCGATACGAAAGGAGGTCAACTAGGTTATGTACCTAGCGACAAGTATCATATACCCTACTTGCTCAGGTCGTCTCATCGTTGTGCCGCACGAATCGACTCAGCCGTGCTAATAAAGTAGCACAATAAGGTAGGTTCTACGCCTACACTGCCACATGTAGTTTCATGGCCTAATGAGGAAAAGTATCCAAGATCAATCTCGGTGAACTTAAGTAACTCCCAAAACCTTTACATTTATCAATGACGATATTCGTAGCCAAATCAACTATTTGAGAATAGTTAAATCCAAGATATTTCACAACTCATATATTTTCATTTCAAAATATTACAAGTGCTATTCCTCATTTATTTATTTTTAAAATTTGAATAATATTTCAAGAAAATAATATTCATTGCACTTAAATCTTTTATGATACAAGAAATGGCACAATCCCAACTCGCTCGTCCCCACAAGGTAGGACTCACATTTAGAAACTCAATTTAATCGTGTTACGATATGAGTTTGGAGAAAAGCTCTGAGGGTAATAAGTTTCAACGTAACTCAAATTTCTTCCAACCTTACCCCAATTGATCCAATAATTCCCACGAGTCACAATCTACATATACGAACTCACATAACTCAATAACGTGTCACAACAATACCAACTAAGTCAACTAAATATGTAACACTTAAGTCCAATTTCATAAGTTTAGCAAAAATCCTCATTTCATCATTTGAAGGTTAATCCTTGAATTTTAACTCCCACTCATTCATTAACCTTGTTATGGGATCTAATTGTTCCACTAGAAACTCAAAATAATATCGTTCAAACAAGACCCAACACTATTCATCATCACTACCAACCAACTCTTCAATTTCAGGATTAGCTTCTAGGGTTTCATGAATAAATGTTTAAGCTCAAATCTAACTTTATAAATATACTCTACTACATCCATGGAGTATAGTACATAAGATTGGAGTGAAGAAATTACCTCTTTGTCAAACCCTAAAAGTTTCAAGATTTATGTTCTTAAAGTGCTCTTAAGATTTTCTTCAAAGATCTATAATTTTCATATAATTGAAGAGTTAAGAGATGTATTTAATGGACCAAATCTACCAAGAAGGACATTAAATTCTTACCTTGAAAAAGTATTAATGGTAGAGAGCTCCCTTCTCTCTCTAAGTTTTTAAGAACCAACTCCCAACTAATAGCACAACCCTCCCCGTAATAACCTTTAAAGACATTTAGCAGATTGAAGCCACAATGGATGCGTCGCATCTCCATCGCGCGCATCCTTCTCATTCAGCAAATTTGGACGCCAGGTTTGACGCCTTCAATGCCGTTCAGTGCTTACTGATGAACTTTGCCTCATTTCATTTGTTTAGCCACTATGTCCATCTCATGCTTTTGATTTTTTTTAATCTTTTCACAATCATTTGCCACCACTATAACTTTTGTTCCTTTGTGTATTATTCAATTTCATGGTATTTAATAATTAATTCCTTGGGTCCCATAATGTGAATCTATTCCGGCCACTCCAAAAAAACTCAAACATTCGTCCAAACCTTAATGTTTGTGACATTAATATTTTCCTTTCCAGAGTTGTTAATAAACTTTTTAATTACCATTAATCCAACACTCATTCTTTGATAAAATAATTAAGTATTCTAATAACTTTGTTCCATTCAAATAACCATGTAGCTCGAGTTTAATTACAATGCATTCTCAAACTCAAAATTAGCCCAATTATTTATAAAAATTTACGGGGCTTTACAATTACTTAATACTAGTACTAATCACACAGATACTAATACTAGTAACATCTTAAAATAATATGTTACCTTGACACATTGAAATATGTAAATAAGAGTAAATTTTGAAGAAAAAAAATTAATTCTTTCTTGATTATGTAAGTTGACACTTATTTTGAATTAAAATAAAAAGATAAAATAATCACTTATTGTGGTCGAGGGAGTAATATGTAAGAACACAAAGTGAATTAACATTTTCGAACAAATTAAAAGAAAAGTACCAATATTTAACGAGGTAGTTATTTAAACCACAGGACGAGAAATTGCTAACAACGAAAAGTTGGAGCTAAAAACAGAAACAGCATAAAATTGAGGGATTAAACACAGTAGTAGAGCAGCACGGAGCAAAAACTTAAAACTATAGGGGGAAAAAAATCCGACGCACTGATTAGTCCTCGTAGTGTCTCCAATGGACGAAATAGCCCCCTATTATCAGTACCACTATTATCAAGCTCCACCACCACCAGCCCCTCCTCCGCCACCCGGCACCACATTTCACGCGCCGCCGCCGCCGGTGGTGGTCCAGCCACTTCCTCTTCCTCAATACCACCACCCTCACCAACCACCCATCCCCACATATGCACCCTCTCCTATTTATCCTCAGCATTCGTACGACGATGTTCGAACTCTCTTCGTTGCTGGACTCCCTGAAGATGTCAAGCCTCGTGAAATTTACAACCTTTTTCGTGAATTCCCAGGATATGAATCTTCCCATCTTCGTAGCCAAATTTCTAGTAATTCACAGGTATTTTGTTAAATTTACTGCGTATTGGGATCTAAGGTTTTAACTTCTTTCAGTTAGTTTCAGTATCAGCTTTGCTCTTCTCATATTATGTGAGTCTGACATATCTGTTTTGCTAAGGATGTCTGACATATTGTTTGTGTTCCTGTCAGCCATTTGCTTTTGCAGTCTTTACAGATCAGAATTCAGCACTTATGGCAATGTATGAACTAAATGTAAGGCCAATATCTGATAACTTTTAATTCCGTGAGTTGTTGAACAAATGATTTACTTACTTCCTAGTCCAATGTCCATGTTCTGGATTATTGGGTATCCATGTACGGCCATTAGTTATTTTTCTTTTCTTTTCTTTAATGTAAGTAAACCCTCCACACTCTGGAGTACCAGACATTAGGTGATTTCTCAGGTTCAAAATTTAGTGGAGGCAAAAAATTAGGTGATTTCTTTCCATATTGCTCCGTCTTTGGTGAGCAGGTAACAGCAGATTTACCTAGTACCTATGTTGGTGGGATTAGTCGAGGTGTGCCCAAGCTGGCCCGAACACCACCTTAATAAAGAAAAAAGAAGATATTACATTTGGACACCATACCAAAGAAGGGTGAGGGATCTAATCAGGAGTGCGTATTACTTTATACAAAAGATAAACACATGCTTAATATGATGACTCTAATTTTTTGCTTCTTAGAAGGAGGTTTAGCAATAATGGGATCCTTGGCTGAGGAAAATCCAAACAAGAATGGAGAATGCTCGAAAATATTGAAGATGGAACCTTTGCCTCTGATCTCAAAATTGAATGAAGCTTAGTCTGAGAGGGGCCACATCTAATGTCATCTTATTTTTCACTTGACCTGTATGTTCTATGTTTTAAAGAACTAGTTCTCTTCTGTTAGACGTGTAACTTGAACTTGCCTGAAACATGGAGAACAACTGAAAAGAATGAGAGTAGTGCATAGTTCTGTTACCTTTTATAGACCATTTTGCATTAGACATAAAATAAATAGGTACAAATCTCTTCATTTATTCACATCCGATTGAGTATTTGGTCATGAATAAACAAAATAGATAATGATGTTAGGAAGGCATTCTCAAAAGAGGAGTATAACATGCTTTGCTTCTAAATGCGTGTCCAGGGAATGGTTTTTGACTTTGAGAAGGACTACAAATTGTACATTGAGCTTGCTAAATCAAATTCAAGGTCTAAGAGGTTACGGACAGGTCTGTTAGGAATAGATTTCTTTCGGTTGTAAATTACTGGAATTACTTTTCCTCAAGCCACAAATTCGTTTGATTAAACCACAGATGATGGGAAGCCTGTATCAGAGAAGAGGATTAAAGGTTCTGCTGCTATTTCCAGAGACAGTGGTTGTGGTATAAATCTGCCTCTATAGCATATTACAGTCTCTTCCTTTGGATTAGTAGGATACATGCATATAAAACTGAGTCTGTTGGCCATCATGTCATTTATATATAAACCAATTTGCTTGTGCGATGTTTTTTAGCCTGTCACATTTAACTAATTTGATGTCATTTAAGGATTGACTGCTCGTCAGTCACTGCAAAGCACTTTATCTAAATGCTCACTTCGCACATGTTTTGCACGCTTGGGCACTAGCAGGTGTTGGCAGCGTTCACATGCCTGGAATGGGTAATTCTGCTTACAACACGATTGGTTATCCACCCACACAAAGGTCATCTGCACTACTTAAGCACATTTTTGTTACTCCAAGTGATTCCTTCTGACTGGAATGCTCCAAGTACTTGTACTTCTAGCTGAAAGTCGAGCACCAAATAGAAATAGTTTCTCTATTCCATGTTCCCTGAAGTAGGGTATTGGATCTTAGTATTGTATTGATCTTGTGGATTACTTCTATTCTAAATTATATTTTTCTTTTTGTTTGGTGATTCAGTAAGGGAAAGTTTGGTGATAGAGTTGTGAATCAAGCTGCTTCTAAAACGGTAAGGCGTCTGATACATGGACAATCATTTGTTCTTCTGAATGTCGATGGTAATTTGGTTGGTTGTTCTGTTACAAGTTTGATCTATAATTTCAGCTTTTATTTGGAAAGTATTTTGCCAATTTTTAGTCGTATTCCTTTGAATTCTTAATTTTTTTACGGCTCTGTTTAGTCACTCATCAAGCATGTACTTCAAGTCCTTGTTGAATCTTGTGATAGATAAAATAATCAACATGTGTAAACAGGGGTTGTTGTACCATTAGTTAATGTATGAGCCTGTAATGTCTAGGTTTTACTCATGCTTTCAAATAATTTTCCATGTCATAAGGTGCATCATAACATTAAGATCAAATCGCTTTCTACAACTCTCCATAGTTTCTGTTGCAAGTGCAAAATATTGCAGCTTTGTAGATTATATGTTTTCCAGCTCTGTTAGATTTATTTTGTGGAATTGCTCTGGTGAATGCAAAGCACGGTCAATTTGCTCTCAAGGGGGTTAACATTTGGAAGTGCATCAAAGGTCTAAATCATTTAAAATAATATTCTCCTTTTTGAAGTCATATGAGCAAAAACAATGAGTGCAAATCCTCTATGAGATTGCTTCTTGGCCAACAACTAGGATATTTGAAGTTAAGTTTATTTCTTTTCTGAAGACTCAAATTGGTGCTTCAAATGTACACTCATGTCACATACAAGGACCATACTCTTAAACAGATCTTGTGCTACTTCTGTAAACTAGTGGCGGTGCTGCCATTCTTAATCTTGAATCCTCGCTTTATTCCGAGTCCAAAGCTCCTTTTTTGTTAATGTGATGATCGTTCATGACCGACCTTAAGTTCCACAGGCGGCTGATCCATGTCCAACAATCTTCGTTGCTAATCTGGGCCAAAGTTGTAATGAGCAAGAGCTGATTCAAGTATTTTCAAGGTTTTGACAAGTTTCCCTTTTAGTTCTAACCTCTGAAGTATTTGGTATACTGGATGGTTACTGTGCTTTCTTTGACATTGTTAGATGTCAGGGTTTTTTGAAGTTGAAGATGCAGGGCACATATGGAGCTCCTGTTGCTTTTGTTGACTTTCAGGTAAGGTTATTACTCATCTTTGCAGTGGCAGTTGCTCAACCTATTCCCACACATCTTCTGCGTGTCCTTTATCTTTTTCTAAGGGCATCTTTATCCCTTTACCAACAACTTTTTCTTTCTTCCCTGTAGATTCATTGCCCCCTATTTAATTTAGCTAAATCCTTAGCCAGTTAACAAGGAAATACTACATGTTTTATCCTGTTGTCTCAGCAATCTTAATAAGGAAGTTCAGATGCATCTCCTAATTAACTTCTTCAAGAAAACAGTAAGCACATTATTTAATCGATGCATTTTCATTCAAGTAATCGTTTAAATGCAGAACATCCAAGATTTACCGTTCTTTTATATTGATAAATTTGTCGATGAAAATTTAGTGCTTCCAACTGGTAATTCAGTTTTACTGTGGTTAGTGGTTAGCGCATTGGCATGATAATGTGCACTTTGACATTGTTACTTAAGGCTGGGGTTTCGCTAAACAGAGTACCGTTTCACCTGTTTTCATCTCCTCTATTTTGCTGTTTTGCCATCTTAGGTTCACCTCTTTGATTATTCTGGTAATTCTTTTCTTATTTTCTCTATTTTTTATTTTTATTTGGCTAGACTGGCTTTATGCGTGAGTTAAGAAGTATACTGCTGCAAGCTCGGTAACTTAGGAGTAGAATGTCAACTTTTATCTACATATTCACATGTAATACATATATGGGCACCTTTTCTTTATGAAATAGCAACGTCGGAAAAGAACTACCACACATCGGCACAACGATGGAAGAGAACTGTTGTCAAAGAGCTTCATTGGGTGTGGGATGTCATCTTAAGACCTCTTGTTGTTCTTAGCGAAATGTATTTATCAATGCCCCACTTGGCTCTAGGATCAGGAATCTTAATGTCTTAAGACTGATGCTTAAATCCAAGCAACTGACTCTTTTGTTGCTCATGCTCCTGATGTTAAGATTTGGCGTTTCTAGGTTTATAGGAAGGTTGAACAACAACAACAATAACAAACCCTGTGTAGTCCCACAAGTGGGGTCTGGGGAGGGTAGAGTGTATGCAGACCTTACCCCTGCCTTTAAAAGGTAGAGAGGTTGTTTCCGGTAGACCCTCGGAAGGGGAAATAACAAGCAAACCAATCTGACAACCAAAGCGAAAAGACAAAACTAACACTAAGTAATGCAAACAAAAAACCGAAACAAGGCAACAATAAGAAATAACAACAATCTAGAGATAAAAAGAAGAACCCGAAGGACACTATGAGATGTATCAAAGTTACTGTGACAAACAAGGACAACACTCGGCTTCCTAACCCTCTACCTTTATTCTTAATCTCCACACCTTCCTATCTATGGTCATGTCCTCAGTCAGATAGAGCAACGCCATATCTCGCCTAATACTTCTTCGGCCTGTCTTTACCTCTCCGTCAGCCTCTCACACCTCTTAACCGGAGCATCAGTGCCTCTCCTCTTAACCTGCCCGAACCATCTAAGTATCGCCTCCCGCATCTTATCCTCCACAGGGCCACGCCAACCTTGTCCCAGATTACTTCATTTCTAATTCTATCGAACCTGGTATGCCCGCACATTCATCTCAACATCCTCATCTCAACCACCTTCATCTTCTGTACATGAGAGTTCTTGACTGGCCAACACTCCGCCCATATAGTATAGTCGGTCTGACCACCGCTCTATAGAACTTACCTTTAAGTTTTGGCGGCACATTCTTATCACAAAGAACACCGAAAGCAAGCCTTCATTTCATCTATACCACCCCAATACGATGTGTGACATCCTCGTCATCTCCCCATTCCATTGTATAACAGATCCAAGGTACTTAAAACTTTCTCTCATAGGAATGAATAGGAAGGCTGAACTAAGAGGTTAATTGCAAGGGGTCAGCCATCCATTTTGACACCCTTATGATAATTACCGGCGTCGTGTGAGATACCGTTAGGGGTGTTCATCAGTCGGTACGGTATGGTATTTAGTCATTTCGGTTCGGTATTTTTAGTATTCGGTTTCTTAAAATGCTATACCAATACCATACCTAATTACATTCGGTATGGTTCGTCTTTTCTCCTTTCGGTTTCAGTTTATTCAGTCCGGTAATTTCGGTTTATTTGGCTTGAATATTAACTAGTGTATAGAGCCATAAGACTGTAATATTTTTAATTAAAGTACTCAATAAAAACGTTCTAAGCTCACTTGACTATTGACAAAATCTTTTTCCAAAAGTATCAAGTATCAACTAAGAGAAAAAAGGGTACATAAAGGAATACATTTGATCATTGAAATTATCATGTTACTTGTTTAGAGTTAATTGTTGAAATTAGATAATACAACAAGGACTAATCCAACATATGCAACAACAATAAAAGAGTAACAGAGTAAGAAGCACCCTAAAACCGTTGAAACATTACGTTAAACTGCTCAACAACCTAGAGAGTAAGAATCGGAACCTGCATCCTACCTTGTTCCTCCATTTTCCTAAAGAAGTACATGGGCTTTACTGCCAATCTCAACATGAATGTCAAAGAAAAATATGTATCTTAGTATGTTAATCAATAATATGTATAATGTGTAATTTTATATATATATCAGTACGGTATCGGTATTATTTTTTTAAATACCAAATACCATACTTAATACCAAATTATTTTAAAAATTAAAAATATCATACCAAATACCAAAATACCGAATATCATATACCAAAATTTTCGATTTTGGTACGGTAATTCGGTGATTACCTTATTATGCGCTGCCCTAGATACCATTGTGTGGCATCTTTGCTTTTGGGCTTCCCCTCTTATAACTGCCACCACTATTCTCATTTCTCGTCTCTCGTTTCTAAAAGTTAACATGAGCTAACACTCATGCAATGTAAGGACCCTCAACTCTCAATGGGACCACCAACTGCACGAATCACTTTAACAAACCCATATTTACTCGATGGATAGCAGTTATTCTTTCAATCAACACAATGTAAAATTGGGGAGAAGAAAAAAACGCCCTTAGTGAAGAGGCATTGCACATTGTTTCAAATATAAATTAGGTAACCACCTAGTTGGTACTATCCCATATTTTGGGATAGGTGTTCCATAATTGATATGACTGGGAAGCATCTTAAATAAAGCAACATGGTGTACTATAATTGTTCTCATGCATCCTCAAACTCTTTACTGCTTTCTCTAGCTTATTCTCTGCAGCAAGTATTGCCTTATAAAGGCATTATTTAGCAGTGACTCCAACATGTTTTGCAGCTTTAGTGCATTAATTTTGATTTTACTTGGTTTTGAAGAACCTTAATTTGGGCATCTTCACCCTAAGGCCTGAGCTCTGCTTTTCAAAAGAAGCCTTCCTATGTTCCCCTAGATATTCATACATTTTTTTTGAGAATGGTAAATAATCTTTAACTGTGGCACAAAGTTGTGCGAGCTGTACAAGTGTTACCTATCACCCCTAGATAATCATACATCTATATGTGTTTTTCTTAATTGAAGAATTGATAATGATTTTTTACAATATGTTGAAGTCATAACCAGTTGGAAAGAGAGTAACTCTTTAAATGCATATAGCAGTCATTGAGATATATTTTTAGCTATACATGGATATCCCATTGTGTTATCTTTACCTTTTAAGCTTTCTCATAATGTCACCTATGGCATCTATTCAAAATCTCACTTCATACTGATGATGTATATTTCCCTAAACCAATCTTCCGAGCCAACCGATCCCAACCCCCCACACAACCCCTCCCCTGACCCAATAAAAGGGGTTGGTGGGAGAAGCTTCCACTGGCGGTACTGCTATTGGAACTTGGAAACGTTAACTACTACTTTTATCTTGTTTCTCTTCCCTTAGTTTGCTACCACATTAAGGTCAATAATCTGTTGCATATCGTAGCGGGAAATGAGGATGTTGATATAGATGTGTGGGCATACTAAGAAAAATAGGATTAGGAATGAAGATATTCGGGACAAGGTCGGAGTGGCTTCCGTGATGGACAAGTTGCGGGAAGTAAGACTAAAATGGTTCAGGCATGTAAAGAGGAGATGTCTAGATGCCTCAGTAAGACAGTGCGAGAGGTTTGCCTTGGTGGGTCTGAGGAGAGGGAGAGGGAGAGGGAGAGGTAGGCCAAAGAAGTATTGGGAGAGTTGATAAGGCAGAACATGACACATCTACTACTTACCGAGGACATGTCCCTAGATAGGAAGGTGTGGAAGTCGAGAACTGGGGTAGAAGACTAGTAGGTAGTCGCGAGTTTATCATTGTCTTCCCTGTAGTATGTGTAGCACTCTCGTACTCTTTATACTTAGATTTGTGCTATTACCAATTGTTTTGTTGCTTCAGTTTTCTTGTTATCTTGTTGTTGGTACTGCTTCGTGTTTCTGTTTCCTTTTCGTGGTTTATCCGTTATTGTATTTCTTTTCAACTATGCTGTGACTTTGCTTTTCCTGATCCGAGAGTCTATCGGAAACAATCTCAAGGTAGGGGTAAGGCTGCGTACATACTACCCTCCCAAGACCTCACTTGTGAGATTATACTGGGTCTGTTATTGTAATCTGCTGCAAATCAAGTTCACCTAAATACACAAAGAATAAACGGAGGTGAAACCTGAAATTGATATTACTAACCATGTTTCCAGGACACTGCCTGCTCAACTGAGGCATTGGGTCGTCTTCAAGGGACCGTTCTTTATTCTTCCACCTCTGGAGAGGGCATGCGACTGGAGTATCCTTTCCCAAGTCCCATCATTTATTCTTCCATCTCTGAACTCAACCCATTATTGTTTTAAATTCTTTCTGCTTTTGCATTACATTTTTCCTTAATGAAATGTTTAGATATGCAAAATCACGGATGGGAATGCGAAGTAAGAAGTCAAGGTAAAAGCTTGTGGACAACAGTCAGTAAAGATCTGGTGCAGCAATGACATTAACAAATTACAGTGTGTCATTTACTTGGTTGATTGTATTGAGAATGAGTAAAAGTATTACTAGTTCACATGTAATGTTCTTCAGTTTGGAGGTTGCTATGAACAACAGCATGTTTCCTTTGTCAAAAGTAAAATGTGCGAGTTATTTCCTTTTTTTCTTGTGCTGCTTGATGTCTGTTTCTCCATTGTCTCATCAACTAAGGAGCATAAGTTATTTGCAATTTAATTTGTACGGCAGTGACCGAGTGCTTTACTGCTCTACATTTTCTTTTTGAAATTTAATACATTAAATTAATATATTAGAAAAAGTTTTCTAACATTCACTTTTGCTAGCCCCAGTACTGTTTATTCTCTATTTTACTTTTTAATATCAGAGAAGTCAACATATTTGCTCATATGCTCCTAAACAAATTTTGGAGACACTACCCTTTTAATTTTTCTTTTTAAAGGTAAAACAGTCGGATTAGCATAAATTACTCCTCGGATGCCAGGAATATTATATGACGTCTTCTATTTGGAAAACTTATACTTACCTGGGATACCTTATCACGTTTGCATCAAAGCTAGTAACCTAAGTTACAAATGAAAGAAATGCACATTATAAAAAAATATTAAGTGATAAAAGTCTATAAATGACGAGTGTTTTACATTTAATTATTTGTTGTAGTATTGGGTGCAGGTAAATGGATAAAGAATCGCACTTATTTGGGTGACTGATTTCAAAATCACACGACCAAATACAACAAACCCATCAATCATTTGGCATGTGGAAATCCTATAGTAGTATCTGATGACTAATACATCGATTCGCTACTAATCATCTTTTGACTTGTAGGCAGGAGAAAGTTAGGAGAGAACATTAAAGTCAAATTGCTTCACATACCAAATCCCATATCTTTATAGTTGTCATTAGATGATAGGTTTCTGCTGAGAGCAGGAGCTCTGTAACTTTACTTTATCTGTCATTTTGCCTTTCTTTATTTGATACTACTACTTTATTGCCTTTTATCCGTTTGTTTCTCTCTGGGCAATTTATTGGCGAATTTGACTTCTTTTTTCACGCCATCTTTTTCTTGTTTTAGTCCATTTGCATGTGAGCATGCTTGTTGACCATTCTTTCCCCCTAATAGGAGGATCATATTTTTGTAGTTAATGAGAATCACTTCTGCAACTTTTTGCCATCGAGTCTATCAGGGTAGATATCGAATTTGAAGATTCATCAAAGTCGATTCTTTTTTGGTTTTACCCTTGGGCGCACAAACGGATTTATATCCAAATATATGGGCACATGTACCCATCTTCTCTCTGTTAAATTTAATATTTTATGTATATAATTTTTAGAATTACTTTAATATTATCTGCTGACACCCATGTTTCAAAGAGGCCAAATAATGCACCTAGTTAAATGCCGAATTATTTACCTAGAGGAGCAGAGATCAATTCTCATGTACTATTTTTTCTTATTTATTTAGTGGTGCACCCATATTATAAAAATTCTAGATTCGCCCATGTAATTGGGGTATTAACTTTAATTTGCTCGTGATTTCACAAAGTTCTGTTATTATATTTGTTTGACAAAAAATATAGATTTTTGTTCAACTAGTTAAATTTAAATAAAGAAGAGTAAATCTTAGCTAAATATCCTGAGGACAAAGCTATCAGTTTTATGGAAAATAACTTGTATGTTTGTCCGGATGACAATGAATGTAAGCAATAATAACATTGTTCAGTGATCCAAAAAGATAGGATATGGCATTAAATAATAACAAGTAGCAATAAATGACATTTAAGTAAATAGAAATGTATGAGTCACCCGAAAATGTGTGAGATCTATGGATATTCTCTCTGACAATGATGAATGATTGATAAGCCTTTGAACACTTAGATTGTTCTTGGATCTAGTGGGAATGCTAGACAAGAATTTTAGCAAAAAGGTTATTTTTGTATGTTTGTAATAATACCAGATTCTCTCTATAAAGTCAATGTATTTTTTTACAAAGGAATATCTCATGCCCCTATCATTGTGTCTTTTTCTATTTATAGGGAATATGTTCCTAGAAACCCTAATAGTACAGGTGTAGAAAATATTTACTACAATATTCCCCTTTGTGTCCAATCTTAAAACTAGTCGTTATAACTTTGTCTAAGATGCTCGACCTCGACCTTGAACTACGATGACTTCACGACCTTGATCTTTGATGACTCTTAGATCGCACCCTTCATCGCTTCGAGGCTACTTCGACCTGGAGCGAATCTTTATGGAGACCTTATTGATAGCACGTGGCAACTAACGAAGGCTATCATGGTGTTGACATGGCTCACCTATATCAAAGATATTTTTTGGCCCATACAGTTAGTCCCACCTCTTATCGAGGTCGTCCTCGCGGGAGAAGTCGATGAGTGGATAATGCCGTTTGTGGTCGACCTTACCGAGCTTGCTGTACAGGCCGTGGTCGTCGTAACGATCAGGCAACGTGGCTCTCTGAGGGTCGCACATTTTGAATTCTTTGAATTTCCCGGAAAGTATGTTGGAGCAATCCGGTCCAATAGAAAAAGTGACGTCTTGACGTCATGCGTCATGATGATGTTGTTTCCCGACGCGTTGCGTCGATTCACGCATGACCCTTGATTGGTTCTATCATTTCGATCTCCATGCTAATCATGGCCTACCGTTTCGATTCCGGTGCCCCAAAGTCTTATAAATAGGGGGTGGTTCGTTGATTTTGAAGCTTTTCCACACGCATTCTCCTTTATAAATAGAGTTTCTTTTTTTTTCTTCGCATAACCCCTTTACCTCTCTATTATTTTCTTTGCTTCTCTATCTCTTTCCGTAACAATGTCGGACCTCCCATCAGATGTCCATATGGAAGATCACTCTATCCCTCTAGATGCTGTTTTCCCTGACTAGGGGGAGGACGTCGGAGTTGCCGTTGAGGAGGAAACCCTACCTACTGTAGAGAAAATTGTACCTCGATATCCCGATGCTAAACCCGACCTCTGAAAGGCGCCAGAAATAGTAACGGAGAGGTTTAAATCTACAATGATGGTTGAGCGGTTAACTGAACTCAAGGCTAGACTCGGTCTACGTGGTCACGTGGACTTGGTCCCTGCAGGCGATGATGAGGTGCGAGTTCATCGTCCCGGCTTCTGCGCCCTTTGTGCATATCCATTCTTAATTGGATATTCGTTCCCTTTGTCGTCATTGATAGAAGAGTTATGCCGCTACTATAACATACGTCTGGTGTAACTCGTCCCTTATATCTTTAAAGTGGCCATGATATTGATGAAATTTGCTGAATTGACCGACGTTGACATAACAGTATGCCACCTGATCCATCTCTTCGCCCCTCATTTCTATCGAGGGACTTTGCTGAATCTTCTCCACCGCTGGGGGATATGTTTGGTGGTGAGGATGGATGACAAGGCTAGTCAGTATTTCTGGCTTGACTATTCCTTTGTGAGGATCGAGGACGTAGTGTCTGCCGCCGCAGGCTTTCTTGAGGCATGGAACCCTACTCGTACATCGGTGGAGAAAGGTATATCCGTCGGAGGTATATATATCTGTTTATATACCTTTTTATTTCCAATGTTTTCCTTATTGTGGGTCGGTTAATTGGCTTTCCCCTTTTTGCAGCTACTGCTCGACCTTTGCAGATGGTGACCCATATTGCCGATTGGGTTAGACAGATTCTTCCTCATACAACGAGGATACATGATTGGTCGGGTTTTTCTCAGAGATTTAGGCCATCTCCTACCTCGACAAGTAACATATTCCCTACCGACGACGTCTTGGTTTATTCGCATATGTCCGTTACCTTTGCTAATTTTTTCCTTTCTCGTTTTCTTTAGCTTCGGCCAGGGGGTCTACAAGGAGGTCGAGAGCTCCCACGCCCTCGTTCCGGAAGAGGAGGGCCACTACACCTTCAGTCTCCGCCCCTGCCTCAACTATGGCCGATCTTGCCTTCATTCCAATTAACCTGTCGTAATTTCCGCCTTTGTTTATGCTCCGGCCGTTGAGACTTCTTCCCCTCTTCTATATTCACTCATTGACGAGGACGATGAGCATTTGCCCAGTGACAGAGATCTCCAATCTCGAAAGAGGAGGTCTATGGATGTGGGTGATGGAGTCACTCTGGTCGTTGATACGGCGGAAGGGGACTTTTCATTGCGTGAGACATCAGTAATTTTTGTGAGCGATGATGTTGAACCGAGTCTCGAGGCTCCGAGCCCGGTAGAAGCCGATGTAGGCGTATCTCTTCATTCTAAGGGGATGGAAACCGAAGAGGCGGAAAATGACGTTCTTGACCTTTCGCGGCGAGAGGAGGCTTCAATCTTTCGGACAACCGCGGATGCTTCTCTATCTGCCGATGATAAGGGCAAAAACATTACTGAGGAGGACGACTAGTCAAATTTCGATGTCGATGCGGACGACCTGAGAATGATTGAAGAGGGGCTTATCCAGCTCGAAGTAAGATTAGATGGGTCTACGAGGACTATCGCAATCCCTATGGATCGTGACTTGTTGGTGCACACTGAGGAGGTAGTCCCTGGACTTGGTACTATCTTTTCTAAAGTTGAGGGTAAGACCCTTAAGGAAATAAATGACGGTGCCTTGTCGAGGAGCATTGCTCGCCTTGCTCTTAGGGTGAGTGTATGTGATACGAACTTTTTCCTATTTTTTAGAGCATTCAAAGTTCTGTCCTTTTTTTCTTCTATTTTGGTTTGCAGACGGTGATTTTAGAAATGGAGAGCGCTCGGAGGGAGAAAAGGTGTAAAGAGATCTTCGTGAAACTGAAAGATAAATACCTTGAGTATCGCGACAAGTATCGGGATCTCCGCAGTCTGTTTCGCAAGGGCGGCAATATGCGGACCTTGAGGGAAGATCTGAAGAAGAAGGATGAAGAGCTGGTGCAGACCATAGAGAAGTACAGCGTCCTCGAGGGGACGTTGAGAAGTAGGGAAGATGAGCTTAAGGTTAGCAGGGGCGTAGAGGCCCAATGCAGTGATCTTCAAGCTCAAGTGGTTGAATTGCCAGGGCAACTTGAAGAGTGCCGATTTCAGTTGGAGGCCCTCATCGATGAGATTGCCGAGAAAAAGAAAGGACTTGAGAAGGCGGAGTCCTCTCGTTTGGACGCTCGGAGGAAGGCAGAGATTGT